GTCGATGGGAGTCGTTTTTCCAAATGGATGGCCGACTCTCTGTGGAGTCAGCCATCCAATGATGTTTTATTTTTTATATATATTTTTTTGCATTTTTGGGAGTCGGATCCCCAAACCACCCCTCATGCTTGAGGGGGTTTGGGAGTCGCTCCCACATGACCGGAAGGAAATCCTTCCAGTCAATAAGAAACAACAATACCATTGACCGGAAGTGATTCCTTCCGGTTGATGAGGTGTAACAGCCCCATCGACCGGAAGGGATTCCTTCCGGTCAATGGTGTTGTTGTATCTCATCGGCCGGAAGGATATCCTTCCGATCGATGAGGTGTAGAGCCTAGACCAACCGGAACTTCCGGTCACGAAGATTGGTCTCGATGGCCGGAAGGGGTTCCTTCCGGCCATCAAGATTGTATGGTCTTGATGACCGGAAGGGATTCTTTCCGGTCATTGAGACTGTACAGTCTCAATGACCGGAGGGAATCCCCCCGGCCAGTGGGAGGGAGGCGACTCCCAAACCTCCCACTTGCCAAGGAGGGTTTTGGGTGCCGACTCCCACCCAAAAAAATAAATTTTAATAAAAAAAATTGGGAAGTCGACTCCCAATCCCCCAGGGGGAATTGGAAAGACGACTCCCGTCCAACGACCCCTCAACCAAAATGGGAGTCGTCGGCAAATTTTAGGGAGTCGTTTTTCCAACCCCCTTTTTTATTTTTTATTTTTTTCAAAAAAAAAAGAAAGAGAGCAAATAACACTAGGGTTCATGACACATGCTCCAAATCTCCAAGTTATTCTCGAGCCAACTTGATCACCTGTCTCAACACCACCCCAAAAATTTGATGCGCTGGACAATGTTAGTACACCGCGGGTGCAGAAAAATCAAAGTTCGACGTCAACCTACCCCAGCTGGGCAGCTCACGTCGATCTTCCAGCCGTCACGGCCGATCCCCGTATGGCATAAGACGGACCGCCCCAATCCCGGCTGCAGACGTGCACCACACAGGTTGCTCCCAGGATCACGATTCCTGGCTGTCGCCAACAGTCCCTCGTCTCCGCGCCAGCCGAAGGCCGCAACTCAGGCGGCAAGGAAGCACCCCAGCTCGCAGCCGCACCAATGAAATGGGTACATCCGCTCGACAGTTCATTGTCCGCCCACCACCGTCGGACAACAGCACTAACGTCACTTATCGGGGCCTGCGCACCCCAAATACATCAAGGGTGCACGACTCCCACTGAGTTGAAAACGTCTGCCGAACGTCCAGCCGTTTGGGCCTGGAAGCCGACCCAAAAGCAGCATGCTGTGTGCCTCGGACGCGCCGTCGCCTCCACCTCGACTAGACAACAACCACAATGTGCGTTGTTCTGGAGGCGACACGACAACCCCCCTACTCGACTTATGCATCGACCTCACTTAAAACGACTTCCGACCGGTTGGAAGTCGTCCCCGCTATTTATTGCGCATCTAGGTGAATGAACCTGCACCAGAAGGGGGCTGGGCAGATATATCAGGCACCCCTGGAGCTCGAGGCGGTCTGTTCTGGGCTAATCATCATAAATAATAATAATGATAATAAATTCCCAACATTGACTGACAAATAATTGAGAACATAAAATAGTGAGTGGAAACAACAGAGATGAGACACACAGAGAGAAAGATGTGATAAGAGACAGAGAAAAGATAAATGAACAATATTGAAGATGAATAAAAAAAAAGAATAGATGAGCAAAACAAGTCTAGATGAAAAATAAAAGGATGTCAACACCTAATTGCAGATACAAACTTACTTATTGGTAGAGCTGAGCAAGCACAGAGAAAAGACAAAGATACTGAGTAAAGCCATCAACTCTGGTCATCCACCAACAATGTCATGAGTCAAGGCGCAAAGCAGAAGCACATGAAGAAGTTGAAGAAGCAAATCAATAATTATGCAGCGTAGACACGTTTAGGTAGCACCCCAAAACAGTTTCTTCCAAAAATAGTTGAAGTTGGGCATGTTGGTGTGGACCAGGCTGAGAAATGGAAGTCACAGACGTGGAGTCTTGTGACAGGGACTGGACACAACAAAATGTTATAGTATTGATTCAGTGAGGATCTCAAGATCAATCAATGAGAGCTAAGACTAAATATGGAGTGTTGTTTTGATAAAAGCATACACTAGTTATAAGCATCTTAACAGGGCATGTGGCGAACTCCCCATCTCACCATCCCACACTCCTAATTGTAGATGTCTTCTCACACAAAAGAGACTGACTATGTACATGAAAAGCATCATTACTCCCTGCGTTCTGCCAACGGAGCATCAAAATACTCCTCTTCAGGGCCATCATCGTCTCCCAAGTTGTGCCACACTGCCAAACCCCGTTGTAGCATTGGGATAAGCTGCCTTACTTCTTCCTCACCCCGTGGGATGTCAACCCAGCGACGTAGCCCCCTCGCACCTGGTATTTCCAGTGAATTTACCAAGTAATGCAAAGTGTCCTTATGTGTCACTGTCTTGTTGTTTTCCTCAGACTCCTCCCGCTCAACACGAACCGTTCCTGTTGAAGTCACCTTGCATCCTCCTGCATGGCAATTATGCTGGACATTGATTGTAGACACCACATCCTGCAGGTGTAATGATTGATTCAGCCATCATGCCAACTTACAAACTGAAATGACACAAAAACAATTCACCTCAACCCTGACAAACTTGGTAATACCTGTCTTTACAATCTTGCGCATGTTGTAAAACCTGTCAACATCTCCCCTCTCATACTTGGTGTAGCATACCCAGTAAGAGACAGCTGATTTCTTCCTTGCCTCCCAAATATGGTCTACGCACCCAACCGAATGGAGTGTGTTTGCCTCCACTGACCGTATCTGTTAGAAGTTGAATCAGAAGTAGTTCAGTTAATGCAGTCAAGAGCACATCCAAGTCCCACACACACCAATACAAAGACACCCTTCCGTAGGGCTCGATGGGAATTCAATTGCATGCCAACCAGCTGAAATAGCTGCCGGCCTGGTAGATGAAATTGCAAAGGCGGTGGAATCTGCCTCTGCTCCCCAGGGCGCAGTCGAATGTTCAGTGGGTAAGGGAACTCGGCCTCGACTGACGCACATTTCTTGTTGTAGTCCATTGATTTCTGGACTCGTGAGTTGTTTTTGAAGAGCTGAGCTACTCCTGAGGCAGAGGTTATGTAGACCTTTGGGTGCTTTGGGTGCTCGAAGTATCCGCCACAAGTGAGGTGCCTGATAACCTTGTAGTTGGCAAACGTTACCGCGATGTCTTTTCCAGGACTTTGCCGATTTTAATGTATGGAAGCGTTCCGTAGCACGCCATTGTAGCTTTCGAACTTCTCGGTGGCAAAAAGACTTGCTGGACCAAACCGTTCGACCGATTCAGGTAGGTGCAGAAGCATGTGGAACTTGGGTTTGTTTATCCACTGTGCTGTTGTTCTGATAATGTAATAAAGGAATTTCTGGATGTGAAAGCGCAAGTCGGCAAGGTACAAGTCCATGTATTCTATACGGGTTTGGAAGACAAGGGGGGCCAGTTCACACAGCGCACTCCACGAAAGTCGTTCATCGTCATCAAACAATTCAAAGAGGACAAATGGGGCACTCTGCAGAACCACCTTAAATTCCTTGCCGACAAAGTTGGACGAGTGCTTGGCCATGTAGTTTGGTGATAGAGATGGGATGTTGAGAGATTTGGTGCTGAATGATCGGTACCAGCCTTCGACGTCTCCCAATTGGACTGGGTTTGCTCGGCCCATGACATCCCGAACCATATATTTCACAACACCTAGTAGGAACACATGCAGCACCTCTACCGGTGTGTCAGTACACCCATCAAAATCTGCAAAAGACTCATGCAAAGGATGTAAGCATTCAAAACTCAAAGGAGCAAAATAGAATATATAATCTCACCCGGTAGTCTAAAAAAAGGATTAAATAGCCTTGTTTGATCATTTTGGTCGAGCTCAGCAATTCGACGAATAAATGCCTGGTTGGCCGGAGTGGCAGAATCGCCCTTTGCAAGAATAGTGTACTTGAAGATCATTATTTCGTTGTTAACTGCATCCTTTACGCCCAGGTCACCACCCAAGATACCCACCCGGGTCTTTGTTCGTGGCTGCTTTGAAATGTCCCAAAGTAGATAGCAGTTTGCAATTACGCCCATCCATGATCGGGGACCATTCTTGATCTGTTCCGCTAAAATGTCAGTGCGGAGTACTGGACCTTCCTCAACAAAATATGTAGCATGATTAAACTGACCCAATACCCATCAGCGCTAATTTGCAGGAAGAATTGCAGATAGGCCATTGTTTTCTTCATACTGACACTACTGACCGACAAATCACATGCACAACATGGATTGCGAGAATTGCCGGGCATGACAGTGCTTGTAATTTCGGCATGCATCGGACTGTCCGCCAAGAAGCAAAGCAGACTTGATGTGATCAACACTTCTTCGCCCAGGCCGCTGTCGTAGGCAACACATCCCTGTTCTGTCAAGGTACTACAGGAAGACAATTGCCATCAATAAAAATTTCCAGAACTACCTGGGTGAGCTTTGGGCACACATCAACTCATCTACAATACCCTCAGCCAGTTCCATTGCCCCAGCGCTGTTGGAGGTCGAGAGGAAATGACAATTAAAATGCTGGTTGGTGAGTTTTGGTGGAAGGCCTGCCAGCGTAAAGTAATATGATATATGCTTGTTCCATTTCTTTGAACTGTTGCCAGAGGTGTCGTCGGCATATAAACAGATTGGCATATGTCGTATAGCTCTTCCAGCGGCCTTCAATCGCCACCGATTAAATATGGGGCCAATAACCTCTCTCTCAGTCCCTAGCTCTACATCGGCCGGCATGGTCAGTATGAATGGCAAGAGGAACATAACAAGAGAGGTTTGTAACTGCATGGGCTCACCGTACATCCTGTTACCACACAAGTCAGACATCAGGCCCCCTCCATCAACAGTCATTGACGGATAGTCCACTCCGAACTCTGCAACCGCTATGCGAGCCAACTTTGGAGAGTCGGAGGGGGGGTTCTTTGTGATCATGAACATCAACTGACCCGTTTCGTTGCAGATTTGGATGTCGGGAGTTTGACACAGGGCGTACATTTCCCCATCTAATTCACAGAAGAAGTCGGGCACCACAATAAGACTGGACTTGAGCTGTACTAACTCATGCAGGTAGAAATCTCGACCTCCGTCTCGCACCATCGGCGCCCTAGTATTAGGCCCAAGTTCCTTGAGCCACTTGCGAGACTGAGACAACCGCGACACAGGTTGACCAGCACTGATTTCGGGATAGTATTTGAGGTGAGGTTTGACAAAAGGATTGGCAATCTCTAGTGCAAGCGTCTTCTGGAGACTGAGATAGTGAACTGGCCGGTTGAGCACCGATCGGCGACCAATAACGTCCATCCCAATCATCTTCCGCAATTTTCCCTTTCCACGTCGGACAGTAGTCCAATCAGGCAGCAGTGTTCCACACAGGTCAAACATTGACCTAACGTGTTGATACATCTCTCGAGAGATGATCGTCCGGGTGTGTCCAATGAGCAAGCAGCTAACGAGATACTGCAGTTTTTTGGAGAATCCACATTCCAGGGAGGTGATTCAGCAATGGAACTATGTCTCAGAGGCTTAAATAGTCCAAGTACGCACCTCCTTTGCACGGAAGGGCCACCAATCCTGATTTGGAACCCTTCGTGGGCGAGCTTGACCAGCCGTTTCCGCATCAGCAGCAGTCAGATCATCCACTGGGGGGAAGTCCTCCGGTATGAGTCCGTCCCACCCGCCGCTCTCGCTGCTTCCCCTTGATTCAGATGAGGCCCGACTTTGGGCAATTGCTGGATCATTGAAGCAGTTGTCTCGGTCGATGAATTGCAGATCAGCGTGTAGTTCATCTGATGTGGCGTTGATTGGAGGCGAAGGGGATGGCAGGTTATCATGAGCCGATGTCCATTGCATGTCAGGCGGACCCCGCGCTAGTAAATCGGCCGCGGCCTCGTTGGCCTGAACCAACTCTTCCCGGCGTCGAAGTTCGGCAATGTGACCTGGCTTGCTCTCATGGACATGCCGATTAGCAGCCATGCTTCCTCTGCCTCCCCCTCCGCAAATCCTACAGAACCATTTGTCCCGCTTGTCACCTGGCAGCTGATACCAAACACCTTGAAGACGCAATTGTGTGGTCAGTTCATGCAACTAACATCTGAGGCTAACTTAAAAAATGAGATTTGTACTTCTGTCAAACTTCTGAGCGACTCGATCCCGTGAATGTTGAACCATCTTCTGAAGCAAGCCGAGTATAGAGTTACCGAGGTACAGTGGTTGGATGGATCAATGGTTAAAAAAATGTCTCTGAATTGTTTTCAAAGGGTTAATGCTTCTATGCTCAAGATGACTCTTGATCCTTAGCCAGCGGGATGACCAGGCCTTCTCCGCGGATCAACGGAGCCACATTTCACTTGGATTTTGCCCAAGTGCCTCGATCCAATTGACCAATATGGATGATCACTGGTGAAGTGGCAAATTCTCATCCACGTCCTTGGATTGATATTTGCCCCTGAGGGAGCGGATAGATGGACACATATGTGTGATTAATTTTTGGTTGGTCCCTGCACCCACATCCAGCTATCATCGCCAAAACATGTTGATAGCTGGATCAGGGTGGAGCCGTGGGCCCGTGGTGAATCCGAGACAGACACAGATTGCACAACCGGCCAATGAGAATCCACAAAATATGGCAGATGACTCTCAAGGTCCCTGCACCCTGATCCGGCTATCATCTCCAAAACATGTTGATAGCTGGATCAGGGTGGAGCCGTGGGCCCGTGGTGAATCCGAGATGGACACATATTGCACAGCTGGCCAATGAGACTCTCCGAAATATGGCAGATGACTCTCAATCCCCAAGTGTCATGACCCGATCATGATCGATCGGTTGAATGAATGTTGTGCTCTTTTGGACAGACACAGTCAGGCAAATCATTCACGGCCCTGGGGCGGTTCATGATCACTCCTCCCAACTTGCTGTTGAAGGTCCCGCAGTACTTAACTGGCCGGACTTTTTCTGTTTCCTGCATCCACACCTCTTCCCACCGGTCTTGCCACCACATCTTTCAAGTTAAACTGCTTTTCAACCAACTTTGAATTTTTCATCGCAAATTCTTGGCACACTTTTTCTGGCAAAAAGACATCCACCAATCGACCTTACGCATCTCCCCCTCAATCCGACCAGTACAACAGCAAGTATGTCAACCACAAGCCAGTCAGACAATGAGAGCCGGTCTCCAACTCACCCTGCCCAACATGGACCGACGAATCGATCAAACCCCACCAGTTTGGCCAACCATCGAACTCGTCCCTACCCCACCTCCTTGCCACGCAATGGAGGGGGGGTCGCCTGCCCAGCAGGAGTAACGATACTCGACCCAGTGAGTCAATTTCTCGGAATCTTTGTTGAGGCTTGTTCGTGGTGTTGTCAACCTCACTGATGCTTGCTCTCTACTGTGTAGGCCCCTTGCCGAGTCCCACTGGGGTCGAAACTCAGTCAGCCCGTCACCGACCAACAGTGGGAACCGTTCGCCATTTTGGACGGCCAGGAGCGGGTGTAATACGAACATGGCCCCCTGCCATAGTTCCTTTTGAGATCACGGATGCTGAATTTAACCCTCAGTTTGTGGAGCACCTCGGTCGGTCTTATGATCTTCGTGCCCCGTATATGGACTTCGCCGAGGAGCTTGTGCAAGTGAGCGCATGAGATGAGCTAATGTTTGCAGTCTTTTCTTGCAATGAGCTGATGATCAAGGGCCTTGCATTTTCAAGGTGCCTTCCGCTCGACAGTACAGCATATTGTTGTACTCGGTCCTCTCCATCCGACAAGCCGTCGAATCACTCATTCGCTCACGGGATGCAGCCGAGAATGGCACTTCCACCGCAACCGGTATTCCTTTGTTCAAGCTCGGATCTACCCTTACCAAAACCACTTCAAGGTTTGATGTCTCTTTGTTTGTCCCTACATCGTTTGAACACGACCCCTGATGACCGATCATACTCTACTTTACATACAGACTTTTGTGCAGAACAAGGCTAAGGAGGTGCTCATGAGCGCCACGCTCGATGTGTATTCAAGCCTCCCGGTGAGGGGTGCCCCAGCAGCTGGCAGAACCCTTCTGGATCAGGTCATGGTGAGTGGCCTTTCAGCCTAGCTCCGAGTCCCATATCCGGTCTGAACCAGCATGTGCTATGTGTGCTCCAGGATCATGTGCGGGAGCAGTCGGATGAGTTCAAGTTAGATTACTTGCCTGTTGGGTTTATTTCCGGAGACCTTTCGGCCCTTGCAAGTGTGAGCACGGAGATCCGTGAACGGTTGAAGCATGAGCGAGGAGCCATGCGTAATCTTGTGAGTGTTGCCCGAGGAATTCGATTCAGGTATTGGGGCTGATCATGACATGATATGTAGCTTCTTACCATGGTCCATGAGCCCTCGGGTCGTCCAATCACGCACCCGGTACCAAGTTTGACAAACCTGATCATTGATGTAAGTAACTCCTCCTCAAAATACCTGTCAAGTCAGCGGTGAAATGACGGTGTGCTCTGCAGTTGACCCAGCGGATGATTCCAGGTGTTGAGCGCGCCGCTGACCACGCAGCCAACCGGCGTTTGAGATCGAGAATTGCACACCTGCGTATCCAGACCATCTCGCATTACGCCAGACGCGGCTCTGGTGAGTCCAACCGACAGTGGGCGATAATAGATGAGCAACTGGTCGATTTGAGGGCCAGGGACCCGCTGTACCGCCGAGCGTGAGTCCTGCATTTGTGCCCGTGTGTCTCTTGAGAAAGCTGAAATTCTTCTTTTTGGTCAGCTTTTACCGGCTAATCATGCAGCTCGATAACGAAATGTTCGGCGATACTCTATACACTGACATGGACGTAGACCGTATCCGAACCCCCACTGAAGACGAGGTCCTGGCCCAAATGGCTGCGATGGCGGAAGAACGATTGTCCGCTGTACCAGCAAATGTGCGCTCTGCGGAATGAGTGATTCGGGCCCTGTGATGTGCTATCATCCTTTTCAGTTCTGTGGTCGCCCTGTGGGCATGCCTTTTTTGCACGTTTCTTCTCTTTTGGCTTGTATATGCTTTTGTTTGTTTCCTTGCTTTTTCATTTTTGTGGTCGCCCTTCGGGCATGCCTTTTTTGCGTGTTTCTTTTCCTTTGTCCTGTAGATGCTTTTGTCCGCTACCTTGCTGCAGCGGGTACATCCGCGAAGCCCTTCACAAGACCAATGACAATCACATACGTTCTTTAGATACCTTTGCCTCACTGTGAGAGCCCAGCGCGAGTGCGATGAGCAGCGCCGATGACCCAAATTGAAAACCTGCGAACGGCCACCCCCTGTAAGGTGACTGGTCAAGGGCTGTGTCTGGTCGGCCCAGCCTGCTCTGCACGAGAGTCAGATGGTCGGACACCGCAAGCCGCACGTCGTTGCGCTGGTTGTCTGACGACTACTTCTCCACTGGGGGACAGGCTTCTGGGCTGTACACGTTACCTCCACGGTGGGATGTTGGCTGAGGCACGACGGCTGCCGCCGTCGCGAGACGAACGTTCTCGACGGTCAATGTGCGCGATTTCCCAGACGGGCACATATCAACCGTCATTGAGACCTTGTACGGGGCCCGTGTATGGGGCGTCGAGCCTCGCTGGGAGGTTCCGTCTCGCGACGGGCCAAATCTACCGTCACCCGAACTTAACACAAGTCTCCTTTCCCTGCGGAGTGGCCTCGCCCCTGTCGCATTGCGCCGACCGCAGGGAGGGACTTGTCCTTGAAACCCGCGTCTTGGCGTGGATCCTGAGAGGCGTATTGGGCCATTTTGGTGGTGACAGGATTTGTGTGTGGGCTACACTGGCTCCCGCTGACCAATTTGCGCCGCCAATGGGTCATTATAGAGGTCTGCATCTGCCCGCTTGGGCTACATATTTTTCAGTCTCTTTCAATCAATAATCATCATAAAAAAACAAATGTAACTTTTGGGTTTTTTGAGAGGTAGCCAGAGGGCCATCTGATGTTAAAAGCATATTTTTCTCCTAAAAGCATGTTTCAAAGACATAATCCATGAAAATACTGTAATTATCAAGTTTGGGACAGTCCCTGTTCAATGGCGAGTCAGACCTCCATACAGGCACAAGTGTTGATTATTGCATATCATAGCAGTTGATAACAGTTCATCACAGCCGCAATCGGCACAAGAAGACCTTTAAGTTTGAATCATTCGCCTTTGACTGTCTCCTTGCACGATGCAATCCAAAGGCCCATCTGAACTCGAGAAGATCGTTCACATCAGCGATGAACTCTGCCGTTTAAACCTCACTCCCAAGGAGTTCATTGCCGGTTTTCTCACTAGGGAACACCCTCAGCTAGTTTACAGGCGACGAAGCTGGGCGACGCAATGGGGATGGACTTCAACAATGAATTTGGTCGAATCAATTAGGAACTTATTCCTGAATACTCAAGCGGGATCTGACCGATGGACTGAATTTATTCAAGCGGAGGTTAGAGTTCCGTATTTTATCTACCCAAAGGAATGTGATCAATCATGTGCTAACTTGATTGATTATCACCAGTCCATCAGAATCTTGCGCGCCCAATCACCACCAAGAGGCTACTACCCTGGCGGTTCTTTCCAGAGCGCCGTGACTGTGATACCAGGTTTTTTCAGTGATAAGGCAATGGACGAACGCAAGGCTAGATTGACAACACACGACACACCTTTCCTATACAACATCCTGATTGGCACTCTGGCCAGACCTGGAGACGAATCGTTCACACCTGAGGAAATGGAAGCCGAAAATCCTCCAGATATCGATGTCAATCTGGATGATCCGGATAGGCATGACTTTGATCGGACTCTTGACCTAACATCTGACGAGGCAGAGCAGCTTGAATACGAGGGCGATGTGTACTCAACTGCAACCCCTAAGATTAATGATAGACAAGCTCGTTCGGCTCAGGTGAGGATTATATGACTGAGTCTATCACTTTGACATTGTATTATTGATTGTTCATTCAAGTTTTTCTTTTCAGACAGCCGCCGTGATATGCTCCATGATGGCATTCAGCCGAAATCGTAGACAAAATGGATTGCAGCTGGCAAACTCCATCCGGTTTGTGGCTTGTGGCGTATCAGAAACAGTCAACGAATATCTACATTACATGGGATTGACCTCGTCTCGAAAGACCGCACTAGTTGCCTTGCAATCACTGGCTCGGGCAGCGGCAAACAACATTGTGAATTCAATGGCAATCATCAATCGTCTGGCACCACCATTATGTATCGACAATCTGGACATGGAGGAACGTGTACACCTGGCAACTGTGGGCACTCAAAATCGAATGTTCCATGGTACGTGGGGGTACATTCATGTACCCTCGAAGGGGCTGTTTGATTCACTCGATGCCAGCCAACTGACACTGGAAGCTTATCATGACTCACTTCGACCCGTGGCAGAGTTGGTCATTGATCCAACAATGTTTCTCCCTACGATAGCGACGACAATTACGAATGGGTCTGGAAGAGCCAACTCGCCAAGGTCATGCTTAAATATGTGGCCATCCCGGCAACTCGGACCGGCCGCTTATCATTAGAACCCCCAATCGTCGAGCAGGTAAGCTGTGAAGCACCTGAAATTCATATGCTAAGGTTGATGGATGAGTCCGATAACTCTGCGGAGGGGATTGGTCAGGTCATGGAGGCATTGCAGCGCCAATCAGGCTTGGGACCGGAGGAATTCTTTGGTCGCTTGCAACTGATCGATGGGGACCTTGGGACCGCACAGATATTCAATGCCATCCGATCACTCCGAAGCCCAAGCGAGCATCCTGAGCACCACCTGAACAACGTAACCTTCTCTCTGGGGGCATCCCACACCCTTTGGAACATTGCCCAGACAATCCTTACCAAACATTTTGGCAACTCCAACAAGATGGATGACCTAGGTGTGTGGCGGTACCTCGATGCTCTTGGGATTTCACCCGACAAGGTCCTCCAGAAGAAGGACTTTACCAAGATGATACATGCAATGGAGCACGTACATGAGGTAACACTCCATCATTGTCTCAGGTATGTCATTTCTGTCTCTTATCTCTTGTCTGTGTGGATTACTGATACATTCAAGTTATACATCTGTTTGAGTAGGGTTGTCATGGAGTGTGATGAGGACCCACTACAGGAGTCTCTACCGGTCATCTCTACACCTACCTGGAACTCTGTAATTGAACAGTGTTATGACCGATTCTGTTCCCCAGCTGCTCGCAAGGCGGCCTCAAAACGTGAACACCCTAAGCTGTCAAACCTTCTCGTACGCCTGCAAGATTTCTCCACAGTTGTCGAGGCCCATCGGGCCATGAAGGCTGGTGATGTTGGCCGCTTGATCAACATTTGGAAGATGTGGTCAATAATGACCCAGTCGCTACCCGGGTTGAAGCATTACTCTGCTTATCTCCCACGTCTAGTACTAATGCTCACTCGCATCTTGCCAAATGATTTGGCCAAGTTAATGCGGCACAATCTCTTAGTCTCTCCAAGTGGGCGCCCAAACCACTTTGTTGCCAAGGATTTTTTATTAGAAAATCACAACTACTGGCTTAAATATTTCTTCACCCGCGCGGGGATTGGAACCCAGATTGACCGTTTGAAAAAACTATTCTCTTCAAACATCCCACTGGTATGATTATTCTCGATCTGCATTTCTGGAAAAATTCTCACAAACAGCTAACACATCAATTGTAAAATCAGCTCAAGTCAATGTTCCAATCATTGCGCAAGGATACCGGTGGAAGGCATGTACAGCAGTCTCATCGACTAATGCTGAAGATTCGAGCCCTTGAACGATTCACTCAGATGGCCCAGGACAATGACATCCTTGATGAGATTGGGTCAGCTAGAGGCATAGGTGAGCTGGCCATTCTGGACTCCTACTTAGATGGACTGCAGTGTCTTAAGGTTGAAGTACGAGGTAAGCCAAGTGAGCTTGGAAGATTCCTCTTGCATATTCCATTATATGACCATCAGGAATCTGTGGAAGTGAGTGATACCGAAGAGGACATGATCATTGATGGCCTTGAAGTTCAAGAAGCATCTTTGGAAGGATATGAAGACGAGGACGATGAAGATGATGAAGATGACTATGAAGACGAATATGAAGATGAAGATGAAGAAGAGACCCAGTATTTATCAGACGATGAACAGATGTCCATGTGAATTATCGGCCCCGGTGTATGCTTTCAACCCCTTGTCTCTCAGCATCCTCCCCTGCCAGACGAACCAGAATGGCTAATTGGGCTCGCTCCTCGGCTTTCCTTGCGTCATCTACCCTTTTTCGCTCATCAGCCATCGCCTTTTCCTGAATTTTGAGTGCCTCCTTTTCCATCCGGACCTTCCTTGCCGCCTCAGCCTCGATCTCCAATTTCTGCGCCCGTGCTTCGTCTCGGACTCGCTTCTTATCCATTCGGACCTGTTTGGCCTTCTCTATCCGATGAATATTCTCTTCCGCCAACGGGCCTGCGATGAATTCCCGAATCACCAAGTCAAGAGCGTCTGCTTGGCCTTCAATCATCTGCCCCCCAATGACTTTCCGTAACCCAACCGTTCCTTCAAATTTTCCAAATTTTTTAACTATAAGATCCACCTCTTGCTTCCCAAAAAGGTCTGCTGCAGTCATCAAAGACCCGCGTGGATACTTCTTCTCAAATAAGACATTAAAAGCGGTATTGAGGCGGTTTGATAGGATTTCTTGCATTGACTGGCTAAGGACCACCCGTTTGCCTACACTTGATCGGTTGACCCCACCCCGTTTCCTTTTATTCACCACCAAAGTATTCCCTGCAGCCGGTTGCTCGCCCCAGTCTTGTCGAATCATTTCATCTATATTGTCAACTGTTAACTTCTTAATGTTTCCCATCAGACCCTTTGCCATATGTGGCTTGCAATTAGAACATAAGCATTCTGCAAAACCCTGTGCCCTCTCGCGTGTCCGCTCCGCAACGTAAGCAGGGTCATCTGTCCTGAGGGGTACATAACCCAAACTGTACAATAAACACCAATAATTACAACCAAGGTAATGTGGAAAGTTTGAGTCACTCACTAAGACCTCGATCATCAAATAAGCAATAATCACTCACGAGTTATCAATAGCAAAGGCCACTCGAAGACACACAGGTGTGATTGCCAAAGCGTCCATTCGGTCCTCATCGGACTGATTGTTGGAACCTTGAAAGTCCTCCAAACAATTCTTACCCCCCTTCCTGTTTGTTTCCACATAGACAATAGCAAGCCCCGATCGCCCATCCCTCCCTGCACGTCCAATCATTTGGCAAACAGCTGACGGATCTGATCGACCCATCTGTATCACACACCGTACCCAGGACCAGTTCTGCCCCATCCCCAACGCCATTGTGCAGGAGATTACCGGTAGTCTTCCTTTTGAAAAGTCATCCACCAATCGTAGTTTGTCTTTCTCCCCAGTGCAAGAGTGGAACCTTCGGACAAACTTTGAATTTGGACGAGACGAGTTCCCTGGGGTCCGACGAGCCAAATCCAATGCCTTCATCACATGTTTTGTTCGATTCCGAGTACTACTATATATCAAAGTGGGAACCACAGATGTATCTGGGACCTCCGATTTAGGTGCAAAAACATCCAAAAGGTCCAAGCACGAATTGACCGATGTTGAAATTGGCATTCTTATAATGCGTATCTCGGGCCGGGTGAGTTCACCAGAGATTGTTTTCAGATTGTGCTCTTCTAGCTTTAAGCTTTTCTTGATTGCTTCCACGGCCAAAGGCCTGCAAGTCGCTGACATCAAAAGAATTGGCTTGCTGTTCCGAGTGAGCAATCGAGCACCTAATTTCCCATACGACGGCCGAAAAATCCCAAGATCCTCCAAACGACCGATTAGTGTTCGCTTGTGTTTTCCACTTCCTGATTCAACAAGCCCCCACTGGTAGATGATGTGGGCCTCATCAACTACAACTAGAGCGAGACGGTCTTGAAAGTTAGCACAAAAATATACCTGATCCCAGAGCGGACTGTTCAAGAATATCTCCGGGCTCAGGTAGACAAAATTGTAGACCCCGTTTGCAACGTTGTTTGCTTCTTCTTCATTAAAGGTCAATTTGGTTAGGTTGATAGCGGTGAAACCAGCCTGAATCTTCTCCAGCACTTGATTATCACCTAACGCGTCGAGGGGATTCAAAACGAGAATTACGGCATTACTCGGTTTTGGGTAAAGCATATGGTAAATCTCCGGTATTCTAGATTTCCCAAAGCCGGTCCCTGCCAATAGAAAAGTGTTGGATCCTTTTGCTAGGTTATAAACCGCTTCTATCTGCAAGTCCTTAGCCGGTTGTCCATAGCGAAGCTTCGCCAATTTCCCAATTGCTGACTTCAATGCGAGGTTGTCCTTTGCAGCAATTTTTGCCAAAAGCTGAATACGGCCGTTTGCTCGGTGAGGTGCACGTATTGCAGGAGTCGAAAGGTGACGAAGCATGCTGGTTTGTAGCGCTGGTTATCCGGATGAGGTTTCAGGAAAGAAGATGAATCGGATGTCTATCCTCTTCCCCATCCCTTGAGCTCATCAAACTCATGTTATTTGGTCATTTGGCCCGTGAGGTGGGAAGTTATGTGTCGTTGATGGATTTTGAATTGTACCGTTATTATGGGTCTGCCGATCATCTCTAGTATTCCAATACAGCTTAGGGATACGGAAGACCGGGGATCTTACAAGTTCCTAATGCATACTCTCCATGCCAATCTTGAGCGGATCGTTGTTTTCACCAGGACACAGATGGGTCATCTCTTGTCAGATGCTTATGATGAAGGGCTCCATGAATACGCAAGAAGCACACCTATGTAGGCATCTTCTCAAAAGTCATGGTTGTCTATGTATATTTTGTCCTATTTAGCTTTTGGTAAAAATGTGGGATTTGGGCCTCTCAGATCTGCCAGGATCCACACCAGATGTTTTACCTTGGGGGCAAGCCTCTCTGTGAGACAGAGACCCTGCGGGGCTGCCCTCCGGGCTCTCACTCGAGAGGCTTGTGTTAGGCTCGACCGTCACCCTCACGGCGGACTGCACCCGGGGTGTATGTACTTAGTTTCCAAACAGTCAGTGGAACTAACCACTTTTTTTTGTTTTTCTTTTTCAAAAAAGAAGCTAGTGATAAAAACACCTTGGCTGTGAATTTTTTTGTAAATCTTGGTTATGAAACCTGCTCATAATGAGCATCTCCAAACACCACTGGACTTCAATTTAAGAGTGACTTACTATTATATAGACATCTCTCTCTCTCTCTCTCTCTCTCTCTCTGTGCTACCTACAAGACACCCACATCTAAATACATGCCATCAACTCCAAGCAAGGCAGAACCTAAGAACACAAACTTTATAGTCCTTTCCTGCCACCTTCTCCCTGAGATCTGCAGAACCAATTTACATACATAGGTCTTGTCCAAATGAAAACAGAAATAAATAAAAGGAAAAACAGTGATTTGGAGGGCAAGTTTGTTGGCCCAGATTTTGACAACCATCGGCCGCCGAAGAAATGATTTCGATCTACATGAAAACCTTCGGAGACGGCTTGAATGTCGAGTTGTGCACTCAGACATACCAACGCGCATTACAGGTCGCGACATTTGAATGGTGATGTTGTACGAGCCCAAGTGGGGTCGTCAGAGGGCCGATTTTTCCAGGCACACCAGAGGACATAGTGGGGATTGGCGATGTTGAGGGACGGATATGGGCGATGGAGGAGAGAGGAGGGGAGACGGAAGATGGACCAAGTCGGGCCGAGGGCGAGCCAATGGCGGACGAAGCTCTCGACCACCTCGCTGGACCGGAGCTCGCTGAGGACGATGACGAGCGTCGGCCCAGTACGACTACAACAGCCATCCGACTCCACACTCGCTAAGTGGTCGATCGTGCGGAGTAATGGGAGGATCAGAGACTCGTTGTAGAGACAATCGACCGCGAGGATCAGGTCGTATCTTGCCCGACTGTCGGCTTTTTTCTCGTTGCCCTGCACTCGAGGCTGATGGATGTCCTGCGTCTTGAGCCACTGCTTCTCAACCTCGACCCAGTCGATCTCCTCGACCGAGAATAGCACGCCGGACTCCTCCCGATCAGAGGCCCTCGGTCCGGAAGTCGAGAAGCCAATCTGGTTGTGCGAAAAGTTGCGGGCGATGATGGCGAGTAGGTCGAACTGGTCTGAGACGGTCCATGAGGCCCTCGATTCCGGCGGGAACATGCCCGCACAGAGGATCCCTAGACTGCCCGTGCCCGCTCCGAGCTCCAAGATTCGCCCCAAGCCCGTCAGCCGTTTCATGTCCAAGAATCCCCTCTCGTCCTTACTCCCGTCCTGCTCACTCGGCCCCACCAATGGCGCCTCCGGCGTCGAGGGGAATAGAAGCTCGTACCACAGGAACTCAGCCAGATGGATGCTGGCTCGCCAGACGATCGATCCGGTGTCTCCACTGCGATACTTGGTGGCGAAGATGTCCTGCTTGAGTTCGACTTGGATGTCCCGACCGTTCTGGCTTGACGAGCAGGCCTTGGCTCTCCTTGCAGCTCTCCTGTTCTGCACCGTCCCAGACGGCCGATCGGTCGGCTGCGGGGGAGGAGCACGGATCTCGAGTCGGATGGCCACCCTCGACGCCCCCGAGTCCACAAAGCCCAACGAGCCCACCTGGGTTGGATGTCGGTGGGCCTGCTCGCTTTTGGCCGCGTCGAATTCGGTGGCGCACTCCGACGAGCCTGCCAGCCCGGTGTAAAGTGCAAAGACCTAAAGAGGATGTTGTGTAGTCTGACGAGTTCAGTGGGATGTACGACTTGTGAACTCAGCAGCGGTGCAGTGATCAAAGCCTTCTGCATCAGTGGCTCACCTCCTCATCCGGGTCCGTCACTCGCACCAACCGGTCTGGCGAAACTGTCAAGAGCGACGGGATCTTCATTTCGAATCTGGTTAGTTGGATATTTACAAAGTCTCGGATAACAACTCCGATCGTTTTGTATATAGCTTGAGCTTTTATAGGCCCCCTTCCGGTGAGGCTACATAACCAGGCTCCAGCCCCACCAAGCCCTTCGTTTGCCGCTTCCTGATGGCCGTGATCATAGCCCATGTTGATCTCTCGGACGCTGAGCTCAGTAAAATTGTAGCCAGCAAGCCATGTAGCCTCTCCATGCATCAACCGGGTCTGATCAGGCACAAGCTCCAAGGTGGATGGCAAGCTTCTTGTTTCGCTGTTATTTTCGAAGGTTATGGCCTTTTCTCTTTACCGCGCTCGCGCTTCTCCGTGAGACTGGGTGACCATTGACTGCCTTTTCCCATCTGCTACAGTAGATGTCTGCAGGTTGTGACATTGAGTACAGGGACTTGATAGGCATAATCCACGGACCACAGGGCATTGACCATTGTGCGAGTTTCCTCCATGTCCAAAAAAAGGATGAATGTGGCACATGCCCGGATAGGAAAATGAATTTTTTTTTTCGTCCATGCAGCGCTGAGAAAGCAACATGCAAGTCATAAAAAAGGAAACTCAAAAAAAAGGCGGCAGAAACACTAGACATTAAAAAGAAGAGGCAAAACGTTTTGGGCGATGATAAAAAAAAATAGTGTTCCTCAAAAAAACAGGTTAACGATCGGAAGAAAACTGCTGTTCGAGTTGGCCACAGAGGTTCATTTGAGGGAGTCGTCATGACAAAACAAAGGAAAAAAGAGACTGAAATGGAAATTGTTCGCATCTGACGCATAAATTGAAACGGGGTTTTCTGGGGAACAAACGCAACGTTCCAATCGTCTTTTGCTCAAGACACGATGCTAACAGAAAAGCAAATTTACGATTTTCAAGAAACAATGAGAACAGCAGCCAAAGTGAGCACGGCAGCAACGTTCTGGCAAACAGTGACGGTGTGGGCGCCGGCGCTTGGTGTGGAAGTGGTGTTCGAGCTGGGGTTGGTGGGTCTCGAGTTGGAGGGCGAGGCGGAGGCGGGGTTCTTGGAATAGGAACCGCTCGATGAGGAACCGGAAGAAGTGGAGCCTGGAGAGGTTGCTGCCGGAGTACCAGTCACGGATGACGTGTTGTTGGCACCAGCTGTGAAAATAAGATATGGCTTAGATGATGGTACAAATTTGTAAGGAGATCTAACTTGTCAACTAACCTAAAGCGCCGGTTGTCGAGTTGGTGGCGTTGGCGGTAGCGGGCGAGGGGGTATTGAGGGCAGTGATGTTGGCCGTTGCAGATGGGGCAGTGGTGGCCGGACTAGCGGGAGCTGGCTCGGCGCCAGCACCGGCAAGATGGCCGACCCCCCAGGGAATCTGAGCTCCACCGGGTTGACTAATGACACATGCGTTAGGGTCGAGTCTCTTCTTTGACAAACACATAGGAGCTTACGTTTGGTTGGCGGGTGGGGTAGATTCTCCTGAGGGAGAAGTGATGGCGAATCGAGTGGTCCAGGTAGTGTCGGCTCCGGCTTGGGTAAATTGGTAGAAGTAAATCTATAAAAGCGTAGCCAAAAGACGTTCAGAAGGCGGCACCGAGATTTTGTGGGTATGTGGAAATACGACTGACAGCTGAAGTAGGTGTGACCGTAGGACACTTCCAGGTATAGGTTGTTTCACCCTTTGTGCCATCTCGGTCCTTGAAGACATTGCTGACCGTCTGCATGGCAAAGTTGGAGCCCGACATCAAGTCCACACTGAAGTTGGTCCACTTTCCAGTGGTGTCAAGGTTCCACGAGATAGGACAGTCGCCTCCCTCCTTAAAAGCTTGGCCAGGACCAGGGAAAGTGGGGACGACACCTGAGGTGGATAGATGAATTTGGTGACAAGTGGTGTCAGGTGGAGTGTTGTGAGGTTGGAATGAATGGAAAAAGTGACATACCTGTGGCACAAGAGGCCGAGGCGACAAGGAGTGATAAAACGACGGCGGAGATCATATTGACTGCTGGTGTGCTGAAAAAACCAAGGCGTAATGAGTGAGTGAGGCCAGAGAAGGTGAGAAGGGAGAAGAAATGGGGAAGGGGTGATGGAGGTGGTGATGAGGGTGGGGTGATGTCTGGTGGAAACTGGGTAAAGAAGAGGCACAGGGTTTATATGGTTGGAAGGCAATCTGGAAGAGTAGGGGAAATCGGTAGAAATGGAAGAGTAAACGTAATAGGGATGATCTATTTAGACAATCAGAGACCAACTCGTCGAAAGGGACGCAAAGAACAAGGTACGTGCCAACCGGAATGGGCCAGGTTGGGGAGGGAGTGTGAGTAGGGAAAGCTTGAGGGCGCACTTCCTCTGAACCGATTGGACAGGAGTTGGCTGTCTGAGCTCCGCCAGCTCGGTTCAGTCAGAAATGAAAAGGAGGGAGGCAGCCAGGTCGGGGTAGCTTGAGTTGAAATGCTGATCAACTCAATCTGATACCAACTCAGCAAAGCATCCCAGCAGCCCAGAAATTGATGGATTCTAACACATGCTCCGAGTTTGGCAAGGTGAGGGATGAAAGGAAAGCAGAGGTGACCCTTGGAGAGATCATTGGACAATGGCGAGTTGCCAGGGAAGCGGAGACGCAGGAGAGGATCATAAGAGTACGACTCTCTCATTCATGCTGCTCTAGAGAGCTCTGCAGCTCACTTGACCGCGTCTTGAAGGATAGCCTATGGAAGAGATGGAAGGGACAATGTGGAAAGTTAAAGAAGACTGACCGAGTTTCCTGAAGTTAATGATGAGAAATCTAAATGATTCTGTTGTGATCGAAAGGAAGGACGAGCAAGTTAGATGGTCGTAATGAAATGGGTGGGTTGTTGGGGGAAGGAATTACTCACGTCCTGGAGTGGATGGCTTGAATTAATAAGGAGTGAATTTGTATGGCTGAACAAGCTGACCGAATGATTGAATGATTGAAATTTGTCAATTGATGGAATGAGAAAAGTCTCGAGTTTGACGGGCGAAGGCAACTTCAAATCGAAGGAAGGAGACTTCCCAATTAAAGTTTGCGCATCCAACTCCCACAGCTGTCACAGACCCACTTGAGAGAACAGCAACTCAACCCGACTGCGGAGCTCACTCAACTGTCACCCTCTGATGATCAGCTGGAAGATCATCACCACTTTACTGGAAGCGCCCTTTGAGGATCAAAAACCATTTGGGGAAGTGTTTCCGTACAAGGAAGGCAAGAGAATCATATTGACAAAAAGAAAAATAAGGCATGAGATTTGAACCCATGGGGAATCAATTACACAATCTGTTGTGTGCTTCCCATGAAAAATCTGGCAAGCCTACAGACATGGCTTGGAGTCTTGAGGGCTACATACAACACATGGAATGTGACTTGGGATTGCTATCAAAAACAGCTTGATCATCAGGCTTTCATGAGGGAGTCTCATTGGACTCTATTGGACTTGGATACACCAGTGACTTTGTTGTGTGATATCCTTTGGACACCAAGGTTGCTAGATTCTGGGCTTTTTTCGGACACAAGCAGTATCTGTAACTTTAAGTGACACAAACCTAACAGGAAATCATCCAATCCCCTTGCTACTTGATGGCTCTCTCTGGGCTATGTACTTGATAAGCAGTCTGTTACCATTGACAGTGTGACGTGAGAGACCCTGGCATTCTGCTTACATATAAGCTGGGGATTGGTATTATCTTCAGAGTTCCTCATGAACAAGGTGTCACTTGGTTTCATCCAGGAATTATCCATCAATTTCCCTTCCGTCAATTATTTAACAATTATTCAGATAATCAGACAGGCCAAAACTGCCTCAATATCATACTGCCCAATAGCCAGAATAATCATTAACTCATCTCACCTTCCATTGACAATCAGACCGTTTTTAGCTAGCATCATTGTCTTGAGAAAATTATGTGCATCAATGATTGTGTAAAGATAGATCTGTGGAAGGCATTATTTCCTTGTCCTGACAGAAAAAAAACACCACTTGCATTAATGTGTGTATGCCTATCCCAACAAACTGGTTATTTGGTCTAGATGTCTCTGTCCACTCCTGAGATGGATACCTCATAAATAGTATAGTAAGAGGGGAGTTCATCAGCAAACCAAATGTGGAAAGTTTGGCTTTAGCAAAGGTAAATTGAAAAGTTGGAACAATGAGTGGAAAGTTCTCCATTCACTTCTGATTTCAAGATACTACATCTCAACTTGTTCAATATCTTCTCAGTGGTCTTGTTAATTCATAATATTCCAGATTCAATTGTTCATGGCTTTGAAGACCTTTTGGACACAATGTCTAAGGCCAACAGCAAGTTCTCCATTTGATACATCCCCTCCAAAGCTGGCCCTTGAGCAAAAAAAAAATGAAAAGAATATTAAATAGGGTGGACGTTCCAGCTAAGCAGGGCGCCAAAATACAAGTACAAACGTTTCCTAAACCTACATGCTAATGTATGCAACACGATTTTGCTCTTTCAACAGTCAATGGACGAGTATATTTGAATATTTAAGCAAGAATATTAATTTTGAGGATAAGTCTTATTTGCGAAGCCTTGAATCTTTGAACAATGTAATCAATCAGGAATCCATTTGAGATAGGGGTGGTCATCGGGAGGGGTAAGGTTTCAAGTCGAGCTTCTCTTTCGAGGCTTTCAGACTTGGGTTGAAGCTCGGCTTCTAGCCATCGCCGACTCGGTTTCAATTTCGTCTAAGGTATCGTCTGAGGTACAGGGCCTGAGGGCTATCATCACCTGTTTGAACAAACGTGAAATATTAATGATGATTGGATTGTTCAAGTACGTCAACTTTTCGGCCAGATCTTGATGGGCGATTTGGGTTAAAACAAAAAAACACCGACCAGATAAGCAACAAGATAATAAATCGGCGTGGCAAAGATCCCCCCGATTGCAGTGGCTTTGACGGCAGAAATTGGTGAGATAGAATGTGCTAAATCGGCTGCCCGTAAGATCCCAGAGCCTATCGGGCCCCCTGCAATTCCAATCATATAAGGCTTTTTGGTTTTGAAGAAAACAACAGTAAGAGAGCAGAAATTGTGTATGTTTAGGATTACCGGGATTTCTTAAAAGACGAAACAAAATATCGTTTTTGAGGGGGGAAATGGCCTCACAGTGATGATGACCCAGCCCGTTCGAACGCCCTCGACCTTCCGCATGAGTCGGATGGCCTCGATAGGTTCGGCCGGATTTTCCAGAGCTTCTTGGGAAAGCGCGGCGGCGATCAAGACGCAAAATAAGGCAGCAATCGGGCCGCCCAGGGCGCCCATCCGAGCAGCAATATATAACGGATGGTAGTCGCTCTCGCCCGTGTCATCAAGAATCGAACATCCGATGATCATCGCCAAGACCGTGATTAGTGGCCTGTATGAAATTTTTTCCAGTGGCTCATGTTAGTTCGATCGAGCCTGGATTCTCGGGACGGGTAAAATGATCGCGAGTCCATTCAGCTCACTCACGATACTACAATAGCTAGGGACAATTTTTTTTTTTCGAATCAACAGTCAGCTACTTCTGTCTCTCGAAGGTTGGTACCCTCCATCGAGTGATTCATTAATGAGTCGGTGCATGCTTGGGGTGGGGGGGGGGTTCTTCTTTGGAAGTATGCGCACTGACTTATAGCTCCTTCGGCCTCGCGACCTGGAGACGGTCCAATTTCACCCATCCGCTACTCTGTCTACTTGCATTCAGGGGCAGACTTTGCGCTGTGCTCCTAGGGATTTATACGGTCGTCCGAGGAAAACGTCGGGGGTCCAGGGTGGTGTATCTGAGTAGATGCTAGGACGATCGAAAGCAGTGAAGAGCTCAATTGGCACGGCGGAACTGGCGATGCCTTAGGGAGTCCAGCTGGGTATGTAACAAAGTTGATGAACTTCAAGTGTGGTGTACTGATGATCTGCGCTGCTGGTCTTGTTCGGATTGGAATGTTCGGAACTTGAACTTTAATGATTCTTGCAAGCTCCTGTATGCTCCTGTATCGATTGATCCGCTAGTCCCACGATACAGTCTCAATTGTAGTACCAGAGGGCATCGATCCTCACCGATGACGAGTTGGTTGCTGATCTACACATTTGTTGATTTATACCCAGCCCAGTTCCACCTTGGAGGGAACTTGGACGGAACTTTTTTTTTCCCGTTGGACAGCTATTTCGGGAAGTCTTGTCCACTTGGACTCGAGAATTCTTTTTTATTTTTTATTTTTTTATGTACAGCCCCTTGACAGAAAAAATGGAACCCTTTAATTGGAGTCTAGAGGGCGAGCCAATGGACTTGAATTTATGCTTCTTGGTGAAACTGTGGAGAATGAGTTCCAAAGAATGATTCTGAAGAATTGGAATGGAAAATCTTTTGTAAAAATTTTGTATGTTTTTCCCCATTTTATGAATTTTTTGGTATTTTTCAATCATTTTTCAAAGTAGCTCAGAGAATTATGATCAACAAAATTGCATGTGAAAAGAATGATTATAAATGAAAAATTGAGAAAAATCAATGATCCAAAGTTTAGAGAGCTGAAGAAGTTGGATTGATATTGAAATTGAATTCAATTTCAGTGCCTGATTGCAGGGTTGGTCTGGTGGATGACACAATCCAAACATGCTTAAAAAAGCTGTTGATCATTTTTTTTTTGATTTTTCATTTATAATCATTCTTTTCACATGCAATTGCATTGATCATAATTTTCTGAGCTACTTTGAAAAATGATTGAAAAATACACAAAAAATCAGAAAATGGGGAAAAACATACAAAATTTTTACAAAATATTTTCCGTTTTAATTTGTCAGAATCATTCTTTAGAACTCATTCTCCACAGTTTCACCAGGAAGCATAAATTGAAGTCCATTGGTTTGGCCTCTAGACTCCAATTAAAGGGTTCCATTTTTTCTGTCAAGGGGCTGTACACCTGGGGTGCAGTTCAACGTGGACCAACACCCCTTTTGCCCGTGGATCCCACGAGTGACCACTGCAGGGAGTCGGACCAGGACCTGACGGTCCAGAGTTTTCCGTGGACTCCACCCCTGCATCCATCTAACTTAACAACAAGTCCCTCGATCGGAGGGCCTGTACCAGGCTGGCGCAAGCGCCCCTCGCAAAGCAAGCCTCCAAAGGAGGGACTTGCGCATAATGTCGGGGTGGTGGCTTGGAAGCTGGGGGTGGTTAGTAGGGAAAAAGTTTGCCCACACCATTTCGCCTACTTCCTGACGGAAATATGTTCATCCGTTTGGACTAGGGAAATGGCCTCCGTCGCCTCTAATTTTCTGTCTCAGCCCCAAAGCTAGGAGCCGTCTAGTCTTGGCCCCACATGCCTTCAAAGAAGGTCATTTTGCTATGAGGATGATGAAGGTCCTCAGGTTCCTTCATCAAAATTCTCATATATTCTGTACTCATGCGCCTGTACACACTTATGGACTTTTGCTCAATAAAATACAGCTCTGTGGAACTCAAGACACCTGTATGGAATGAACAACAGTTGCCACATGCTAACTGTAATGGGCATACCTATGCCTTTTACCACCTCTCATGCAATAAGCCCATTTCTTGGTCAAATGAAGACCTCAAATTTCTATCCAAAGGATGGATGAGTGTTAGCCAATAAAACAAAAATAAAAATATATGGAAAGCAAGGTCTTATGCTCACCTATGCGACACAGTTTGCCGCTACCGTTTTGGATGAATGCCCTTGGAGTAATGGGCATTTTAGAGTAAGATGCCATAAAAAAGCCACAAAATGTACCAGCTTCCAGGCTGAACTTTTGACTTGACTCATAAGCCCCTCTTTCAGAGGCTCGCTTTGCAAGTTGCCTCCGGCCCTCTGTCGAGGGGATTTGTTAAGCTAGTGCATCCATGTCGGCAGCAGGTGGACACAAGGAGGTATCCCCGTGGAGCCTGGATTAACCAATCTGTAAGATTGGGTGCCGCTGGCCGGCCTGCCAAAAAGAAAACGAAGGTGCAGATCAAACACACGACCATGTGCCAGTGCTAAGCACCAGCACATGACCGCTTGGCCATCCAGAAGTTGAACAACCTCCAACTTTTCACCACCGATTACACGCACCTCCCTCCTTTTTTTAACTCATGACAAAAAATTGTCAAAGTTTTTTTTTTTTCTGCAAACCGGTGTAAGACTCAAAAAGTGATTGTAAGATCCTTTTTGCTGAATGGAGAAAGGGATGAAATTAAGGCATGACCCCGACACACGGGGTTCAGGGTTTTGGCCGAATCCGAACCCCGGGGTTCAGGACTCGGGATGAGGTTAAGCAGAACCCCGGAACCCCGGGGTTTTGATATATTGTAGAGATTTCTAGCCGACAACTCCCAACGACCGTCCGTCGATGGTCGTTTAGTCGATTTCCCACCCCCTACACCCGCCTCTATGCATAGGGGGTCTGGACTATGGGAGTCGCTACACTACTGACCAGCCAAGGAGGAGCTTTATTCCTCCCAGCTGGCCGGTACAGCAAACCGGCGACAGGTTATTCCACCCGGGCTGGTTGATACAGCGAACCGGCGACGGGATATTCCTCCCCGGCTGGTTGGTACAGCATCTACCAAACAGCCAAGGGCAGTCCTTCTTGGCTGGTTGATGCAGACTCGTCTACCGGCCAAGATGGATTCTTCCCCAGCTGGTTGGTACTGATTGAACCGATCAGCCGGGGAGGAATCCTCTGTGACCGGTAGGTGAGTCTGTACCAACCGGCTGGGGAGGGTTCAGACTTTTCCCTCGCCAACCAGCCAAAAGGAGATCTTCTTTGGCTGGTTGAAACTTGATCCGGCACCTGAAAAAAAAGAAATCAAAACCCCGGTGTGGTGAGACCAATCAAGGTCATACATAGTACAAAATAGTTATACATAGTATTTTTTATGATGTTACAACCTGATATACTTGTACTACATAATTCATTATCTTGTATCCAGTTCAGAAGGTTACAAAATAGTATTTTTACACATAGTTTGGTTACATAATATATAGTACTACATAGCTACAACATACTACATATCACACATCTCAAGATACAAATTAGTCTTCCCTCAGTACCTTCTTTCTATGATAATAATCTTTCAGTAAATGTTATTTATTTCATCTCAGATATCACTTATTCAGACTACATATACTATTTCATCCCATACATCTGATTTCTCATCCAGATGTTGTCATCTCATCTCACTCATCATCCACTTCTTTTCATACATAAATTACTTCATTCTACATTTATTTTATTCTACATTTATTTCATACTACAAGTATTTCATTCTTACATTCCATTTCAAACTCAATACACATGGCTTATATCACCTACATTCTCATCATACATCTCATTTCAACTCATTACTCATTGCTTATATCACCTACATATATATTTCACCACACAGATTTCTCATCTCACCTCAGAATATTTATTTCAGTCTTTGATTATCTCATTTCTTTTTGCACTACATATTATTTTTATCACAAACAGAAGTTACTTCATATTTTCTCCTTTTCAACATGTTTATTTCACACTACGCATTTGTCAGCCACATTTATTTCATAACCAATTGTCTTTCAGATACAACTTATTTCATACCATCTTCTTACATCAGCTGATATCTTACCACTAGTATCTGATCAGAACCACCCACATGTATATAGAGAATACCCTTTCCCACTTACTTTGTTCCCCATGCTTGCATTAGAGAAGTAAACAGATAATTACTTAGCAGACATCACTTACTAGTAGTTACCAGAAGTAATTATTATTGATTTTCCCCCAGAAGATAAGAAATTGAACCCAGAAACCATTATCCCCCAGAGTCTCATCCTTACCAAAATTACCCACATCCTCACACTCTCAACAGGTGCTTTGTACAAGACATCAGTAATAAACCTCATACTAAGATTACCCACAGAAATAGCCACACCTTTTCTTTAATTCTTAGTGTAACGTCTCTCCCAAGCCTTGACAAGAGGGCAGCTTCATCAGCAT